CTGTCACCATGAGAATATGAGAAATTCTTAGTTTTGATAACTTGGCAAGGGGTAAAGTTCTTTCAAATGGGTGCTTTATCATATATATGAGGTATGCTTTTGTCTATTGATTAGGGTACACGGTTTTTGACTTCCTCAAAGTGCATGTGGTGATGGTTGGTTATAAGGAGGATGAGCTATGGGCTTGGCATGTCATCTAAGGTGATAAGTACTACTGGGGTACTGGTTGAGTTATTTGAAGGAGAGGAATAAGAGGGCATTTGAGGATGTGTATGACTCTTTTAGACTAGTACAAGATCTTTCATTCCAAAACCTTCTCCTTTGTTTAAGGTCATCTGCAAATGAGGCAAAAGATTTGTCTTTTTGTTTAAGGATTATCTGCCAAACAAGGCGGAAAATTTTTAGGATCTTATAGATGATTTAACTACTTTGTAAATTCTTCTTTTGTATTTTGGTTGCACCCTCTTGGCGGTCTATATTATATATATTTATATACTCTTACTTTTTACTTATTTTTATTTTTATGAAAAACCAGGACTCAGTGAGGGTACTGCCCATGTTAAAAGACGATGCATAATAGTCTTGTTCAAAATCTCAAATAAGTTCCGTATGATAATCTTCATCAAGGATAGGATGGTCCTTAATGGAATTAATGGCCCTTAAGATTTGTAGTTCTACCATTATGAAAGCAAACACCTTAAAAAACCCTTTCTTCTTTTTTTTTTGGAGTGCGAACCAGAAGAATATATTAACAATGCACCTAGGGTGCAACCCAATTTCTCCTTTTTGACAAAAGAGGAAATATTATTAGAGATTAGAGATCAGAATGATACTACCATAAGGATAAAGTATCCTCTTAGACCTTGCGGACAAGCAGTAATAGAAGACCCACCCAAAAGAAACATACAAATAAATACAAGATAGGCTCCTGTGTTCTTCTCGGCTACTTCTTCATGCATAGCTGGCACACAGCAAGGGAGGAGTGGTTGAAAATGTTGATGCCAAGACCATATTTTCTTTTGATGATCTTGCTGATGGAAGGAGAACTTTTGCTTCATCTGCCACTGATATTGAATCACTGGTGGACTTGAACCATACATGCTTGGGTTTTCCATGAGGATCTATTAGGAGAATTGCTATATTGCAAATTGGATCAAAATCCTGCATGCTAAGGGGAAATTAAGGACCAAAGTGAGAGGTTACACGTCGCACCTCCAACCAGGGGATTCTTGGTTGTGGAACAAAACTCTTTGGACATATTGCTTGTGGGGGAAGAGTTGATGACATTAAAGTGAGTGAGAATGGCAGAGATTTCTGATCAGCGATCATTTTATGGAAGAAGAGGTGGATGGGTTAGTTAGAAACCTTTAAGAATTTTATTGGAAGGGGAAGGTCCTTGGGTAAAAAGTATGGTGGGTTGAAAATACGCTCTGTGGTTGGCTTTAGGAGACAAGATGGGGACAAAGTTTTGGTCTTGATTATAACGAGAATGGAAGGACGCAGGAGATCTACATTCGAAAGGCTCTTCGGTGAGTGGCTGGTGGAGGATAATGGTTGCAAAGAGTGAAGTGTTGGGAAAAACTTCCAGTCCGCCATGGAAGGCCAAAGATATTGGCTGAAGATGTTCGGTCCCCGATCTAAATGGGAAGGTCAACTTATAGTCTCATGTGCCTTAATTGCAATTTTCTGCTCAATGCACCACTGTAGAGGCAACCAAAGAAACCCTTTGTTGAAGTGGTGAAGGGCACGGTTGTGAGGGCCAATTGGGTTGAGCAGACAAAAACCAACTATGAATCATGTTAAATAAATTTTAAATTCAAAGTGAGATTAAGCCAAATTAGCCCACATATACGGGCTAAT